CTCCTCCCTCTTCCTTCGTCTTCTTCTATGAGAGTGTAAGAGGTTATCAGTAGGGATTCAGGTAGAGGTTGTAACGGGCATATTGCCCACGATCTGATTCGACATTTCTGGGGCGGACATTGTTGGGACATTCGGCAAGAGACTATTTTGGACTTCGCCATTGCGATCTGGGTCTACTCTCTCGCCTCCCATCTCCTTCGTCTCATCCCTCCCCCATCTCTCATCCGTGGTATCTCCCCCATGTTGCGTATGAAGGAGGGACCTTTCTTCCGTGTTTGCGGTCCCTCCTCTTATCTCACATGTGTGATGTCCGATGGATGTCGGGTCAGTCCAGGTCAGATCAGATCTTATCTTTGAGTCTTCCGCTGCGCCACATTGTGCCATTTGTATGTATCGAGGTGTACATTGCTTGTTGATGCTATGAAGACATTGCTTTGTTCACTTCAGTCCTTTTCATCACATTGCAGATCCTTGGTCTACTGCGAATTGCTCCCCTGAGCATGCGTCATAAGAGGAGAGAAGAAGAGAGGAAAATAGAGGAGGAGAAACGAAAGGAGAAGGAAAGACTGAGGGAGGAAAGGCTGAGGGAGGAAAGACTGAGGGAGGAAAGACTGAGGGAGGAAAAAAGAAGTGAGGAAAGAATGAGGGAGGAGGAAAGGGTTCGGCGGGAGGCTAAGGAAAGGGAAGAGGAGGCAAGGAAGGTGGCTGAAAGGGAAAGAGAGGAGGAAGTGAGAAAGGAGCAGGAGTTGAAGAGAGAAAGTGAACGAAAAGAGGAGGAAGCAGAAAAGTTGGAAAGGGAAAGAGACATACGTGGGGAAGAGGAAGGGAATTTGGTTCAGGAGCAAAAGAAGTCGGACATGGACTGGGAAGAGGCTCATAAGGCCAACTCAAGTGAGGAAATCCAGAAAGAGGGTGGGCAGCAGGATGGAAGTAAGGGAACGGGTTGGCAGCCTAGCAAGTTCATAGACGTTCCATTAGCTGAACCTTTTGTCTTCCATGGTCCGAAAGAGAAACCAAACAAAGATAAAGCAAAGGAGAAGGAGGTCCAGGCTAAGCCAACTAACCCCCCCCCAGGGTAAGGAGGAAGATGTAGAATCGACGGAGGATCCCTCACCATACAGGGAGGAGGGGGACCACGATTCTGAGGGATACCTCACGAAGGAGGAGGGAAAGGAAGAAGGTGGGGGATTATTGGAGGAGGACCTGGACTTCGCTGTTCCAGGATTGCTTTTTAAAGAAGGGGATATATTTAATAACAGACAATCCACTCCATGCAAAAAGGCCAGGGTAGGAGATAACACGACAGTATCCACAATGGATGAGCAGAGGGAAGGGAATGCTTGTATGGATAAAGCTGAAATAATGGCTTCCTCAAAAAAACGAGGTAAGCCAGAATCATCAACAAAAAAAACCCTCCTTTTCGCTGCTCCCATGGTTACCCTGGGCAGACTTGATAAAGAAAAGAGCGATATTAAAGAATATGGTATCCCGCTCATCTGCTCAGATACCTTGCACGGTCCGCTCGTTATGCTGCAACGCTCGGATACGGACTTTTTGAGTCTGCCGGCGGTTGCCATGTCAGGACAGGAACAATTGTTGAAGCTGGTTGAAGAAAAAATCCTGAATGGTACGGCTACATGTGCACCAATCCCATCGTTAAAAATGGGCAGGCACATAGTGTCTCTTCCGGGACAACGAAAGACATTGTTACACATTATGTTCTTGGGTATAAAATCGGCGAGTAAAGAGTTCGAAGAGTGGTGTAAGGGGAGGATGCTTTGGTATCCCCTCCAGGCTTTCACCACTCCAAATAGGGAAGCCCTGGAGTCCATTCAGCTGATGGGAGACCATACGGCGACAATAATATATGACTGGTTGGTAAGGACTGACCTTCTTTCTACGACTGCTGGCCAGCACTTCCGTTCTTTGATTGGTCTAACAGGACTTCCCCAGGAAATTCAATCGGTAATCTTGAACAATATCATTCAAAGCCCTTCTGGAAGGAAGGCGCCCAGTGCTCAGAATGACCCAGATAATGAATCTACCGAATAGAATTCGAATCGCAAGTTGGAATGTCAAAGGCTTGTGTGACACTTCCTACCGAAATAAAAGGCAAAGAATTCTCTCTTGGGTTCATTCAAACTCGGTACAGATCTTATGCCTACAAGAAACAAAAATGAATGCAGATAAGATTTTAGCAGCTAGCAATTGGTGGAGGGGGCCCCAATTTTGGGCACCTACAGAGGAAACCAGGGGGGGTACAACGGTTTTAATTCATCGGGATGTGGAATGTACTATTCTGGACCGGTATAGCGATCCTGCAGGCCGTCTGGTGTGGGTAAAACTGACGATCCATGAAGAGGATTGGGCGGTGATGTCGGTGTATGCCCCGACGGATGTAACAGCAAGGACTGAATTCTTTGCCTCCCTACCTGCCTTTATCCCGGATACGGAGAATCTGATAATCTTGGGGGATTGGAATACTATTCTTAATCCAGGATTGGACTCCCCAAGGGCCACCCCTTTGAGAGCAGATTCCTCATTGCTAATGTCCTTTTTCCAGTCACAGGGCTTAATAGACACTTATAGAACACTAAACCCAGAGGAACATGGATACACGTGGCACAGCCCGAGACCCACCCCTCGCGCCCCCATTCCAAGGAGGAGATTGGATTACATAGTGGCGAGGGGAGTGCTATGGGATAAATGTAGCTCCTCAGAATATAAAATATCTTACCTTTTAGACCATTACCCCATCTTTATGGACGTAATTATTAAAGATTTGGTAACCCGGGTAAGACCCCCCTTCAGATTGAATATCAATAACCTGAAGGACAAGGGAATACCGACTTGGGTATCAGATCAGATGGAGAAGTGGCTCAAGGTAAAGGATTTATTTGATAATGCGGACACATGGGCAGAGACCGGACTGAACATTATCCGTTCCGCCTTGATAGAATTTTTCCGTTTAAAAGCAGTCTATAGAAACTGGGAGGAAGTGAAGCTCCATAGTACTATAGAGGAAGCGGAGGCAAAGATGGGCACCGACCCCTTTTCTGACTACTATTGGACAGAAAAGAGAAAGAAAGCTCTGATTCAACTGGAAAAGGTAGAAACACAGAAACAAACGGAATGGTTGGAATGACTTAAATCGAGAGGAATTATTGGGTATGAAAAAATGACTAGAATAACTTTCCGGTCACTTATACTCAGACAAACCAAGCCCCTGAAAAGGGAGTTGTCCCACCCCTTTGCATTAAACCGCCCTACAACGACAGAGACATCTGATTTATGCCAGTATGCCCTAGATTATTTTAGGGACATAGTTTCGACGCGGCGTCCTTTCAATGAGTTCGACTCAGACCTGTCAGAGGTTTCAGACTTCTGGAACAGATCACGAGTTCACATCCAAGGATCCATTAGGACCCAACTGGATGCCCCTCTGACTGAAAGGGAATTACACAGAGCAGTCAAGAGGATGGCGAAGGGGAAATGTCTCGGGGTGGACGGCTGCCACTAGAACTATTCCTGTGTTCATGGGAGGCGTTCTCGCCCTTTTTGTGTCAAGTTTACAACAAAGCCCTTACTACAGATTCTTTGCCTAAAAGTTATGTGAAAGGGGTGATTTCACTACTGTATAAAAAGGGGGACAAAAAAGATGTTAGGAATTATAGGCCAATATCAGTTCTAAATGTGGTATATAAAATCCTGGTGAAAGCCTTGGCTCTCAGACTAGCGGACGTGCTCCCCGAATTAGTGGGCTGGGAACAGGGGGCGTTTGTAAAGGGAAGATCAAATTTTTAGAATATTTTGACGACGGTATAGGCCCTAGAGATAATAAGCAAAGAAAAAAGAGAAGTGGCGGTCCTACTTTTAGACATGGAAAAARCCTACGACAAAGTGGGTTGGGCCTTTGTCCATACCACATTGGTTAAAATGGATTCGGCACGGGCTTTTGTACCTGGGTGAAGGCAATGTACTCTCAGGCCTTCTCAATAGTGATGGTAAATGGGAAGCTGTCTGAGGATTTTCAGTTGACCCGATCTCTTCGACAGGGGTATCCAGTAGCCCCGCTTCTTTTTGTGCTACAACTAGAAATTCTTCTGGATAATATTAGATTTAATCCTAAGATAACAGGCCTATCTCTAACCCCCACGTTAGAATGGAAGACGGGGGCGTTGGCAGATGATTTGACTGTGGCTTGTGAGAAAAAGAAATCAACACTGATTGAATTAAAGAATGTAATAGATAGCTATTGTGTATTATCTGAGGCATCTATAAATTGGCAAAAATTCGTGTACTTCTTGCCTGATATTTATATTTTGAAAGTGGATTGGGGTTTGCGTCAGATCCCAACTGAAAACTCAGAGCGCTTTCTGGGAGTTCAAGTATCTTTGGCGGATTGTTTGGCAGCACAAGACAATCTTTTGGCAGACAAGGTTATATCGAGAATCCACAAGTGGCAACGCAACCATAAGCTCTCTCTAATGGGAAGAGCTTTGGTAGTGTCGGTTGCGGGGCTTTCTCAGTTATGGTTCCCCCTCTCGATTAGAAAACTGGGAGACACTGCATACACGCAGATCAAAAGATGCGCAGCCAAATACATATGGAAACCAGATGCAGACRAGGGGGAAGGATTCCTCACGAAGGTGGCATGGAAAACGATAGCGCTTCCACGAAAACAAGGGGGATTGGGAATCCTAGACCCCCGTCAGCAAAACGAGGCCTTGCTGGCCAAATGGCCAGTAAAAGCAATGTTTGATAACCCTTCAAAACTTTGGATCAGATTAGCGGAGTACATACTGGGCAAAGAGTGGGATATGGCTGATGGGAGGGATGTCTGGCTTTGTCTTCTTCTTCCCTCATTTGCCAACAAAAGGCCCCAATCCCGAGTCTGGAGGTATATACTTCAGGCCTGGCATAAGTTGCTACCGTGTACCTTTAACCGCCCGACATCAAAAATGGAAATACTGAATCAATTGTTATTTGAGAATAACTTCATACTCCAGGAGAACGGTGAGCCTTTTGGGCTAAAGAATGGACCAGGATGCTTTAGAAGATCCTGGATCCAGAGGGGGGTATTACAAGTCAAGCATATATGGGATGAGGAGAGAGAGGATTGGAAGACTGAAGAAGAATTGCGAAGGAAACTCCCACGACTCAGAAATCTGGGAAGGAATTTGGAAAGTGTTCAAAAGGCAATCCCAAAGGATTGGTGTCGCTGCATTATGACGGACGCAGAGCACGGGGTAGATACCTGGGTATATTCAGAAAATGACTCAGCAGTACTTTGGAGGATATTGGGTCCAAATTTGAAGGAGGGTATGCTGGTCCAGGAATGGAGGATCTTACAACACTCACATAGAGACTACAATGAAGGAAGGACCTTAGTTTGCCTATCAGATAGGAGGGTGAAGACAACGAAAGATCTTCAGGAAGCAAGGGTCTGGTTGGGAAGAGATGCCAAACAGACGAGATTGTTGGGAAAAGCCGAACATTTTAGATTGGAACCGATGGCGAAAAGGTGGGAACCGCCCGACCAAGAGCTCGTTCTGCTGGTAGCATATAAAACAAGAACAGGGACAAGATGTCTGCAATCTGCGGTTAAGACCCTTCCGTCTCACTTAGCCAATAGAAAATTTGAAAAAAACAAAGAATGGATTGACTAGGGGACTGGATTGGACTCCGTTTTGGCAGGCTCTGCTGCTGTTACCTTCTCAGAAAATGGTGAGCCTACTATGGCTCCAGGCCTTAATGGTGATTGCTTCGGCGCTGTGGTTGGCACAAAGGGGAATGAAAATTCCCATTATGTGCAGCAGGTGCAATTGGGGTTGGGAATCCAATGCCCATTTGTGGAGATCGTGCCTGCTGGCATCAGAAATGTGGATCTGGTGGATCCACTATTGGAACTTGATTACAGGACCGTCATGGTCTTGGACAGAGGATTGGCTACTGTATGGCATTCCCCCAGTACCAATTTCCTCACTGAGGGATGGGTGGGGGTATGTCGCTTTTGTCTGCAGAGGAGTGATGTTTCAGGAAATTTGGAGAGTCAGAAATGCGACTGTTTTTTGTAAGCCCGTCGTTTCAGTCCAAGAACAACAACAGCAGGTGCGAGTTAATATTCGCAGAATGATACAGGTGGACTGACAAACTGCCTTAAGCAATAAGAAGAAGGGGTATATCTGGTTTCTGAGGACGTGGGCACGGGGAAACCAACTGACAGCAGTTACCAAGGAGAAAAAGGTGGTACTGGCAAAGTGGTTGCGCCCGGATTGACTTGCTGCTTGACGGAAAGGATAGGAGAATAGTCGATTTAGGCTAAGTCTTATAAATCTCCTGTGGTGACACTGAGAATGTAAGGCAT